ACGGAAACGCGAGCATTGTGGCCAGCAACGTTATCAACGTTTGATAGCCTGACCAATCCAGGTAATTCAGGTAACATCAAGCAATGGTTTTTGGTGTGTTCGCTGGCTGGCTACTGTTGGATCAATATGATACATCAATACAATTCAAACAATCGCCAATCAACATGAATACGCTAAAATGTGACGCATTGGATTGCCCAGGTTTACGTCAGAATCGAGCAGTAATCAATTTTTTAATTTATCAAGTCTTGATTCTATGAAGGACAACGAATAAAATTGTGAATGCTCAGTTCGGCAACCAAACGGTTTTGTGGACTGATGAAGAGGAACTGCGGTGAATAGATGATCAGTTAGCGATTATATAACAATGTTGAATTCGTTGGCTATTTGGTTTTCAATAACTCACTTGAATTGATCAGATATTGATTGGTGAAACCCGGATGATCAACATCATGAACTGCGCTTGCGAATAATGCGGCCAATACTTCCAGTTCCGAAAAAACACCCTTAAACAAAGCGTATCAATTATTCACGGGAGAAAAAAGTTTACTTTGCAAAGAGCGAGTCTTAATCTCAAGCAACACAATTTTTTTTAAAACTGGGAGATCGAGCTCAATTTACTTCAGGTAAATGAAGTGATCAAAATAAAGGACACCATATGGTCACAGAGTGAAAAAAAACACAGACCCAAATTAAACCTATGAATTTGCATTAGATGAGAACAATTTTCGTATCAAAACGAAACCAAAAATTTTTTTGAAGCTGATAAAGATGATGGAAAAAAATGGAGAAAATGACTCTAAATGTACGAAAGAGCTTAAGAGCTTAAGAAATCAGCTTGATCGAGTGCCACTTCGTGTGAAGATCACTGAAATAAAACGAAAGGTAAGTGAAGAAGAAAATACGAATTTGGTATCAGAAACGCACAGTGAGAGAAGGACACGAGATAAGCACGTTCGTTGATTGGGCCACATCACCTCCGTGCACCAAATTGTGATAGGGATTATCACGATAGTGATGCTCCAAATGTAGTAAGTAGGTTAACAACGCTCCTGGCGGAATTTCGAATGTTTTCAGTAGACCTCGATTCTGCAATTTCACTTCAGTCATATAATCGATTTTTGCTTTTTTGCAAATTTCTCTGTGCTCCATCTTCGAATTAAATTGATAAGTTAAAGTCAAATTTTCCACTCAGCAAACTTGTCATCTACTCTAACAATAACAATGCTAACAATCTTAACAATTGAGACTCGATGAAAATTTGCTGATAAGATCTCTATCGTGAACTTTTGATAGTTCGGTGATTAAGTGACGTTCCTGCTTTGTTAGCATCTACAGATGCAAGTAGCTAACTCCCAATCGATGGGTAATCAGAGGTAATTCTATGTCAAAACGATGAATCCATCACCTCAACATGAATTGAGAATCTAGTTTTTGCAGAAATTCGGTCGTATCTCTGGTATAAATTGCCGAATCGCTGATTGTGAATAAAATCGAATCTCTTGAAGTGTGTAAACTCCGGTAACAACTACATTCAATAGCACATTAATGTGTACCAATGAATTATCATTTCTATGAAATGATAATTTGAATTTTTAAAG